AACATTTTAAACTACCTGGCAACCACTATAAGCTCTCTTTTTCTACATTTCTGGCTTCATACTTTTGCCTCTTCATATGTCAATTTTGTACTATTTTTATAGAGATATTAGATAAACTAGTAAAAAACGAGTTTAAAAAGTTGATAGTGTTGTAACTTTTTTTTTTTTCTAACCAGCTTCACAACCCTTTACTATAAGTTCTTGCACAAGTGGTGCTTCTGGCCCGGGACACGCCCTTGGGGAGCTCCAGCCCTTTGATCTCTCTTGGTTTAGCTTCTCCCAGTTGCCTGGGCAGCTTTGCCAGATCGCCGCCCTAGTTCCCTCTCCCATCCACCCTACTCCACAGGCCGAAGTGATTGTGAAGTTGTCGCCCACTTCCCCCAAGCAGGCAAGGTGATCCTGGAAGCCCTTCAGTCCCGCCCGCGGCCCCAGGACCACCACCTGGGCTAGAGGGTGTCGGTGCTTCCGATGCAGGACGGGGGCTGCTATATTTTCCTCGCATTCCTGGACAATTCGCTGAGCCTACAAGAGTGCTCTAAAGCCTAAGCTCGGCAAGGTTAAAGGTAGACTGGCTCCTGTGAGACCGCTTTTTTACGTGTTATCTGAATTTTTTTCCCGTTTTAACATTCCATGAGAAGCTTAAAACCAGAATCCCGGGACTTTGCCGCGCTATACCATCTAGCGTTGTGGGGGCTCCGTGACTAGTCAGGTTACCTTGGGTGCGGCCTGCCCCTCTTCACTTCCTCCACTAGGGGCGGCTTTAGACCGCGGTCTTTCCCAACTATGGGGAAGAGGCGGAGACCTTTTCCTACGACATCGGTTGGCGGCCAGAGTCTTGATTGACAAGGGCACTAGCGAATGGCTCTGAGGTAAGCAGCCGTTGTTTACGCACGTACAGCCAATGGGAAGGTAGAGGTGCGGCCAGCGGCCAATGAGGACTGGCTTTAAGCGGAATGCAGGGGCGGAGCTTCCTTCGACTGGCAAACGCTGAGTGAAGAGTCTGGAGCGGACCCTGGGAGTGTCAGAAGCACATCCGGTGTTAGAAGAGCTGTGTGGGCTTCTAAGAGGCCGGTAAGAACAAACGTCTAAAACTGGGACTGCGCAAGCCGGGAGCGAGAAATGGAAAGGGGATTAGCAGTTATCGACTGAGCAGGAGTGGGAATAGTCTCGGTTTTCGGACAGACTGCACCTTTGGGGAATGGGGCCCTGCTCCGCGACGAACTCTGGAAAGCTGGGCGGGGAGGGGAGAAGATGGGGAACTAGTACTGCGCATGCGCAACCGTACCGGAGCGGGGGAGGGGCGGGGGCGAGTCCGGCAGGTTTTGGGGGCCCTCGAGGCTCCGGTTCTGCCCGCGAGTGCTAGCGAAGGGTCCTTGTTAGTCCCTTTTCCTTCCTTCCTCCCTCCCACTCTGCGGTTTTTCTCTTTCCCCCCCCCCGCCAAGAGTAGGCGCAGGGGCCCCTTTGGCCCAGCCTCCACTACTTGAATTCAGGTCACGTCCCCCGCCCCTTTCTTCCGAGGCTAATGAAAGCGAAACTTCATGGGTTTGTGGTCACCCTTGCTCCACCCGACTGATCGCTGCTCTGCTGCTGGCCCTCTGGCCGACCCCCCTCTGGGTGAGCGGCGAAGGCCAGGACTCGAGGAAGGGCCTGGTCAGGCAGCCTGCCCTGTCACGCCAGTCAGGTGATGTCACACTCCTCTGTGACACGCGAGGCTCCTTAGTTACTTGGAAGCCGAAGGCAGAGGCAGGAGGTGGAAAGACCCTTCCTGGCTTCCCAGCCCCACAGAACAGCCCCATTCTGGTCTGATTGATTACCTTTGGACAGGTGAGGTGGCCTTGGCTTTGCTTGGTCCTGAGCCTTGTGGGCGTCTTTCTCAAAGTCCGGTTTAGGAAAGGCGTCGTTGGGCGGTTGTTTTTTTTTCTTGGACCTATTTGCTGGATCTGTGGTAGTAAGTAGGCTTTGGTAATTTTGTATATTTAAGTGTGAAATTGTTACCGAGTGCCAGCCCAGAAATGCATTGCCTACCCCATCCGCCTTTCTTTGACCAAACAATAACAAAAACCGCTCTGAACTTGACTGTTTTAGCAATAGTTAACTTGTGAATGTGTAACCCTGTGGAAGAGCTGACTGTGCCTGAAACAAAGATTTTAAGGTTAAAAGTTAATTGCGAATAGGCTTTTCTAGTTATTTATTGATACTCAGTTTTAGTTTATCTTTGGGGTAAGAATTCAGTTGAAGGAAGATCATTCAAGTTGCATAACTAAATTCTTATGGTTTCTACAAATACACCTATTTCTGTAATTATTAGGTTTACTCTCTTTGGCAGTTTATCTTTGTCTAATGTTTTTTTTGTTCTGACTTCAAGAATATGCTGGTGCTTAGATTCTCTGCCATTTTCCTCCCAGTAGAGACAGAATGGTTGAATCCTTGAGAAACACCTGTAATTTGAATTCCGTTTCCTTCTTCCATTATTTAACTGTGGAAACATGGCTTAGTGAACCCCCTTTCTTCTTGTCTCTCCCTTCCCTGCTATTGATGTGACTGAAGTCTTACTCTCCTAAGAACAGGGAAGGTAAAATTAATCCAAATATTTAGTCAGCATTTCTGTTTTTTTCCCCCTCGTTATGCATATAGCTCATGTTTATTGCAAAGTGCTGAAAAATCTAGAGGAGTGTGACAGGAATCAGCATGTGTTAATATTTTTAAGATTTCTCTTTGCCAATGGCTGGAACTGCCTTAACGAAAACCTGCTTTTCTGCTGTAGATAGAGTGTAATAGTAGAGAGAGCACCAGACATTAGAGGTCAGAAGGCCCCTAATATGGTTTGGGTTCTATTACTTAACTTTGCGGTGTTGGTCAATACTAATGTCCGTTTGTCCCTTTCGTACTTTACAATGATTTCACACAGATTTTCTTTTCTTCTTTTTTTTTTTTTTTTTTGGCGGTATAGTTGACACCGCCTTACACCACTTTTCTGGTGTACCCGCATAGTGATTCAACAAGTCTATACATAATGCTGTGCTCCTTATGCTGTGCTCCCTGCAAGTGTAGCTACCATCTCACCATACAAACACTATTACAGTCTCACCGACTTTGTTCCCCTGTGCTGTACTTTTTATTTACGTCACACGGATTTTCTTACCAGCATTCAGTTAGCTTGGTAGAGCAGGGATAATCATCCTTATCTTACAGATAAGGAAGCATAGATGATCTTAGGTAAAATGATTTCCGCAAAATTATGAGGTAGAAAATGGCGGGATTTCTGACTCCAAAGCCAGTGCTCGTGTCATTATTATGCTGCCTTTTGGAACTTTCTTTTTAAAGGGAGACTAATCATTTTTGTTGTGAACATCAAAGGAGATAACGTATATAAAAGCACTTTAAAAGTTGTGACATTTTATATAAATATAGTTAGTGATATTATAAAAGATACGACTACTGGCCTGAAGTTTCACTTTATTTCATAAACTACCCGTGGGTATTAGTCTCCTGTGGGAAAGTACTGAATATTCTCTTGATGTTCTATCTGCTAAATTTTCCTTTGCTATTTTGGCTTGGCCATAGAGTCTGTTAGAAGTGTCTTCCACTTCACCCTGTTTTGTTCCCCCAGAGGTGTTTTTTTTGTTGTTGTTTTTTTTATGGAGATGTAATTGTTTTCTTTAAAAAAATTTTTTTGATGTTTATTTACTTTTGAGAGAGAGAGAGAGAGACCAAGTGTAAGCCCAGGAGGGGCAGAGAGAGAGGGAGACACAGATTCCAAAGCAGGCTCCAGGCTCCAGGCTCCGAGCTGTCAGCAGATTCCGACATGGGGCTCGAACACACGAGTTGTGAGATCATGACCTGAGCTGAAGTCGGAAGCTTAACCGACTGAGCTGCACAGGCGCTCCAGTTCCCCGCCCCCCCGAGTTTCTAACCAAATTTCACAGAGTAGCTTTTTTAACCCGTTTTTGTTTTCCAAAGACTGTAGACATTGGCTTTTAGGGCCATCACGTTACCCCTCATGGTAGGTTCCCTTTTGAGCCAGTTGGGGAATGTCAGCTCTTGATTAGATACAGCACTCTTGATTAGATAATGGGGGTCTACATTTGCTCTGGGGACTCCGTTGTGCTTAATCACACAAGCTTTGTTAGAATCAGATGCAAGAGAGCTGAATTAGATGCAAGCTCTGCTCTCAGGGTGCTTACAGCCAAATATGTGAGAGAGGTTCCGGCACAATTAACTAGAGTCCAAAACACTTAAAAAGAGCTTCAAGGATACGAATTGAATGGGTGTGCTATTTTTCCTAATCTATGCCTGCTCTCATTTGGGCTAAATATGTTGTTATTGGAGAAGGCTTATTTACTGGTTTACACTGGGAGATGACGTTGTATTTAGGACATTGGTGCCTCCTTATGATTCAGTCTGTCAGACGTGGTTATGGAGAAAGGGATTCAGTAATGTCAAAGTTCGATGCAAAAAATAATTTATTGAAGGCAGGAGGCATTCCATGTCTAGTTAACTGGCTTGGTTCTGAGGCAGCACCCTAGTGAGACAGGATTCAGTGTTAGCTAGCTAATCTAGCTAGTCAGGAATCTTGGTCCAAGTTAAGGGAAGGTCTGGGACATCTAGGGTTCAAATCTAGGACCATCAGAGCCCAGCCATGTCGAAACAGTTCTTCGGATTTCCTGAAACCAAACAGACCTACCTCTTAGGGATGCCAAGGAAAGCATCAAGATAATGACCATTTACTTCATCAAGTTCTCAACCACTTCAGATTATCACTTAGTGGTTATTAGGCTGTCTCAAAACACCTTGTGGCCCTGTGGGGCAGGAGGTACCGTGTAAATATGGCCGAGGAGAGGCATGCCATTTAAACAAAAGTAATGTTATCCAATAATAAAATTTATCAAATTCCTTTAAATTCCAGTTTATAATTTTCTTAGATTTCTCCCCATCTTCCCCATTTAATTTTACTCTTTTGAGTAAAATCATTAAGTCTTCAGGGTATAGTTAGCTGTGAGTTAATGGTTGAATAATATTTTTAAAAGGCATGTGTAAATTAGATTTACAATTAATGTTTTCTTTTATTTATTTATTTTTAATTTACATCCAAGTTAGTTAGCATATAGTGCAATAATTATTTCAGGAGTAGAATCCAGTGATTCATTCCTACTTAGAACACCCAGTGCTCATCCCAACAGCTGTCTTCCTTAATGCCCCTTGCCCATTTAGCCCATTCCCCCATACACACAATCCCTCCATCTACCCTCAGATTGTTCTCTATATTTTTAAAGAGTTTCTCGTGTTTTGCCCCCCTACAGTTAATGTTTTCTAAAACTAGGGGAAATTAATGCACTGAGGACATGAGAGTAATGAGTATTTACACTGATAAAACAATGGTTAACTTATGGAGCCAGTCTTATTCATGAAGCACTATTCTAAGCACTTTATTTGTATTATCTCATATAATCCTCAACCCTATGAAGTGGAGAATATTATATATTACTATATACAAATTAGGAAACTAAAGCACAGTGAGGTTCAAGTGCCAGAAACTTGCCTCATGTCACACAGCTAAGGAAATATCAACTAGGGTTCAAATGCGTATAGCCATGCTCTTAACCACTATTCTAGGTACGTAGTTATGCAGAGACTGAAAGCTATTCAATAGGAAGAACTGAAAAAAAGGCAATTCTGCCCCCTCCCTGCCCTGCCTTTTTTTTATTATTATTATTTAAAAAAATTTTTTTTAATGTTTATTTTTGAGAGAGAGAGACAGAGTGCGAACAGGGGAGGGGCAGAGAGAGAGGGAGACAGAATCTGAAGCAGGCTCCAGGCCCTGAGCTGTCAGCACAGAGCCAATGCAGGGCTCAAACTCATAGACTTCTCGAGATTATGACCTGAGCCAAAGTTGGACGCTTAACCCACTGAGCCACCCAGGCCCTGCCCCCCTACCTTTTTAATCACATGGGATTTTTCTTCTCTCTTAAGTATCAGTTGGTCCCTTCTAGATGTGTAGGAAGAGGACTCAAAATGGTGGAATTACAACAGAAATGAAGAACCATACAATTCACAAACTAAATGGTTTTTTAAATGTTTATTTTTGAGAGAGAGAGAGAGCACAAGCAGGGAGGGGCAGAGAGAAAGACACACAGAATATGAGGCAGGCTCTAGGCTCTGAGCTGTCAGCTCAGATCCCAACGTGGGGCTGGAACTCAGAAACCATTAGATCATGGCCTGAGTCGAAGTCAGAAGCTCAGCAGACTGAGCCATCTAGGCACTCCACAAACTAATTTTTTTTTTTTTATGAGACAATGTGAGAGACAGAGTGCAAGCAGTGGAGGGGCAGACGGAGGGAGACAGAATCTGAAGCAGGCTCCAGGCTCTGAGCTGTCAGCCCAGAGCCCAACTCACGGCTCGAACTCACAAACCGTGAGATCATGACCTGAGCTGAAGTCTGACGCTTAACCGACTGAGCCACTCAGGCGCCCCTCCACAAACTAAATTTTTAATTAAATGTATGAACAATGTTTCTGTGACTTGCTGGTTTAATGTTGTTAAATTGTATACATCAGGACAGCCTTCTGCCCAGCAGTCAGCAGGCTCTTATCTTTAAAAGGCAAGGATTGGGGCGCCTGGGTGGCGCCAATTAGCGATCGACTTCAGCCAGGTATCCGCTGGTCCGTGGTTCAAGCCCATGGATCGACTCTGGGCTGATGGCTGGAGCCTGGAGCCCATTTCCGATTCTGTGTCTCCCTCTGCTCCTCCCCTCGTCATGCTCTGCCTCTCTCTCTGTCCCAAAAATAAATAAACGTGGAAAAAAAAAAAAAAAAAAAAAAAAGGCAAGGATTTTTTTTTTTTTTTTTTAATTCATGTTATTCCCTGTAGCTTTGTGATTGGCCATGTTTCATGTGGTCTGTACTTAATAGATATTGAAATAAGATTGTAGAGAATTTTGTTTTGTTTTTAAGGCTTGGCCCTTGATGATAATTTTTCATTTTAGGACAAGGGTAAGGAAGATACCTAGAACAAAACAAGAGATTTAGTGGGACATAAGACATGGATGTTAGTTGATGAGAGTATCTGTCTTCTGCCTGCCCCTCCCTCCTTCCAGACCTCAGGAATACTAACTCAAAACAATGTGTTAATTTTTTCTTTCTTGCTAAAGCTGTGCAGTAAGTTTTGTTGTTTTTGGGTGCCTCTGGCAGAGGAGGCTGGCCAGAGGAACCACAGAATGGTGACGCTTCTAACAAAGCTTTAGCAGTATATGCACGACAGATGTTGGCAAATTCTGAGAAATTAGATATTCCTGCTCTCCTAAGGTTGACAGAATTAAATGAAGCTCTGAACCAAGTTAAAGGTGTTTGATTATAATTAACATCTGAACATTTACTTCTCAAATGCAATACAGACAAATTTCTCATGAGTCTATGAGGCACTGTATACATTATAAATAAATAATAAATAAATAAGTAATCCCATGTCTTTGTTTAAATTTGAGTGTAGAACTGGGGAACGGGAGAGCGCATACAATTTTTAAATTTTCGTATGAGTTGGCATCCAGAGTAAGACCAGTGCTGGTATGGGTTTCGTAATGGGCTGATATGTATTAGGGGAACTATTGTATTGAATAATTTTTGAGCACCTTGTAATACACTTTTTTCCTTTATTGTAAAATATACACGCAAAGTGTATGATACATTTTTAACATCCTTTTTTTTAAAAACAAAGATTTTCATTTAATTGTGGGGCCCCTTTGAAATGTTAGCTGAGTTACTTGGTTAATGGTTTTGAATACCTGAAGCCCTGTTAGGTGCTGACTGTTTCCTGGGACTGAAAATACTTTTGGTATGGGAGCTGCTATTTTTGAGTTATGAGTGCAGTTGAATCTTGTTCAGCTGAGTTTGCATATTGACCATTGCAATGTAGATATGTTTTCTCTGCAACTTTTGAGCACAGTAGTTGAGGCTAAGATAGAGACTTGGTTAGTGTAATCCATCTTGCAAAACTTCTAAGAACTGTTTTTAACTTGTTACTTATCTGTACATTAGTTCTTGTCTATTTGAAACAGACCTAGAGCAAACTGTCATATTTCCTTGATTCTAAGACCTAACTTCCCCCCTCTCATGTTTTAACAGTTCTGAAATAAATTATGTCATATATACATCATGTCATTTATTAAATGTATACCTTACTGTGTTTTTCCCTGTAACCCTATTGTTACAATTGCTATGTGCCTTTGCATCTAGAAAAGTTGGTAATTACATATTTCACTTAATTTTAGAATCAGTGGTGATGCTGGGAAACTGGTTTTGTTTCATTGATTTTTTAATGATTTTAAACCACGAGGCACTACTAAATCATGGAGAAATTCCTATTTGATACTCCCTGTCCTCATAACCTTTTGATAGTTTGGTTTTTCCATCAGCAGTTGTAAGAGGCAGTCAGTACCCCCTGGGAAATATCAAAGAGCAAACTGGGAAAGAGGAGTTTCTGTCATTATCCCCTCCCACTGTTTCCACTCAGTGGGGTCTGATTACAGGGTGTTGCCCCTTTCTAACAGTCCTCTGAGTATTTGAGGATTTACACTGCAGGGCCCATTCACCACCTTTTTTTAACTCTTGAAATTGGAAGCAAGAGGTACTTGAGTGTTGTTGTGAATCCTGAGAAACTTGGCTCTGAAGGTTGTTTCAGAACTGTTGCAAGTTCTGTCTAGGGATGTCATTAGGGATGTTAATGGAAGCCTTAAACAAAGACACTTTCCAGGTGCTGGATTCTGCCAGCCTGTAAGTATGCTCTCTGGAGGATGTGCTCATCATGATTCTGGAAGGCTGTGGTTGGCCGTGCAACAGCCTGCAATACTTGCACCATCTAGATCAAGAGGGCCCAGAGCCCTGTGACTTCGATTTGCGAGCAGCAGCTTTAGTGGGCTCTGCAGCTTCTTACTGTATCCATCCTTAAGAACAGAACTAACAAAAAAATTGAGGTGAGTAGGCATGTTGGTGAGAAAGGAAAGAGCAAATCAAGAGAAAGCCAGCTAGCCATTGTAATTGTTTCATGTGTGCGAGAGCGAACCTCAGTAAACAAATGGTAGTGATCCGTGAGAACTAGAAGAATGGAATCTTTCCACTGGCGCAGGATTTCTCAGAAGTCAGTTTGGGATTGTAACTTTTCTTGCTCAGATTAATTTTGCTGAGTATTGGGCTAGGTGCTGATTGGAATATGTGGGAGTAGTTGGCCTATCTTGCCTATCTTTCGAATTACTTACCTTTTGTGTTTTAGTAACTCCCCCCCCCCCCCCCCACACACACACACCCCGTTTTTGGTCAATTTGAAATGAATAGACATTATGGGTCTATTAAGAATCTGGATGATTGTGGATGATGGATATTTAGGGAAGATGAAAATTCTTGAATAGATTTTTAGCTCTGTAGATTGAATATATTTATTTAGAATTGCATGTGAGATAGAGGAGGGAGCAAAATTTAAGAGCCTAACTTTATGGTGTTGATGGAATGTAACCTGGGTACGGTTCAATTAAAAATGTCCTTTCTGTGACATATTGGGACAATTGACAAAATCTGATTAAGGTCTCTAGATCAGATAGTAGAATTGTGTCAGTGTTAATTTCCTGGTTTTGGTCAGTTTTCAGGATGTACACGCTGAAGTGTTTAGGGGTAAATGGACATTGTGTTATATATACAGGGCAGGGCATACAGCAAATATGGCGAAATATTAACATTTAGGAAATTTGGGTGTAGGGTATATAGGAATTCTTTGTACTGTTCCAACTCTTCTATAGGAAACATTCTGAAATTGTGTTTTAAAAAATCCTTTCTGCACTTTTCTCTTTTTAAAATTGTAAATCCCATGGGGTGCCTGGGTGGCTCAGTCGGTTAAGTGGCCGACTTCGGCTCAGGTCATGATCTCGTGGTCCATGAGTTCAAGCCCTGCATCGGGCTCTGTGCTGACAGCTCAGAACCTGGAGCCTGTTTCAGATTCTGTGTCTCCGTGTCTCTGACCCTCCCCTGTTCATGCTCTGTCTCTCCCTGTCTCAAAAATAAATAAAACGTTAAAAAAAATTAAAAAAAAAAAATTGTAAATCCCTTTCAGTTCAGTTCTAACATGCACTAGATGGAAAGTTTCTACATGTATATATTTAAAGTTCAAGACTTATTGCCTGGCCTAGCTCCCTTCCTCCCTCCCTCCCTTCCTTACTCCCTTCATCTTTGAGGTTCTGTGCACCTTTGCTGAGAGAATTCTCTAGCATCTTGAAACAGTGACATAAGATTGCTTTATGTTCCAGTGACTGGGTCCCTTTAACTAGATTGCTACTGGTAATTTCTCAAAGAAAGAAACTATTAAAGGGACAAATTACCTTCTGTAAGAATAGAAAGCAAATGCTAGTAACAAAATAGTTTGGGGAGGAGATGGCTTTATTTCCTCTGTCCCCTTTAAAATGGTTGAGTAGGATTGCAAATGTATCGTGGAAGCAAATACATAAAAATGAAAATGGCTGTGTTAAGACAGTGGGGTTTTAGATACTTTCATTTTCTGAAACTTGTACTATTTTTCCATGAGAAAGTTGTTTATGTTACTTTGTACATCTTGTATCTTTAAAATAACCTTTCTTCTTATCCTTGATTCTACAGAGTGGAGGCTGTGTCCCACAGACTCTGGCATCATGAACATAT